TATTAAATATTTTTAAATAATTCTATTTATATTTCTTGATATTTTAATTTTTATTGTTCTCTTAAAATAAATAAACTTAAAAAATAGTATATATCAATTCAAATTTAAAAAATTAAAGTTTTAAATTAATTATGAGAATTTATAAACTAACTAATCAAAATCAAACTGAACTTGAGTTAAATATTTAGAGCATGGGTTTATAATCTTTTATCATTTGATTTATGGTTATCTAATTCTATTGTCTAATCATTCTGAGTCCTTCCATTTTAATACTTTCGGGACACTTACTACAACAGAATTATCAAGCAATGATGACTATTAATAACTTCATTATAATACCTTTGGGACACGGGTTTGGTGTCGACGGTATCTGTTAGGTGTGGACACCATGCCTTAAGGCATTGGAAAATATATGGGTGTAAGATGAAATAAGAGTGCCGCTACCCACGTTGTAGTGTCCACACACAGCATTTTGAGCTTTGAAAATTTTTCATTTTTGTTACATGTCCAAGTTTTTCTAATGGGATATTCTTAAATTTTATAAGATATCATTATAATCATCATTGTATTAGTTAAAGACATAATTTAACTAAGAATAAATATATGTTCTAATGAATTAAAAAACAATCAATAATTAAAATTTTTATAATAAAAAAATATTTAAACAATACTAATTAAATCACCTAATATTATCTCTGCTATGTTCAATATAGTAATTATATGTATAGGGATTATTCAACGTAAAAATGAAGAAAAAACACACACACAAAGAAGTAACGATTTGAAGTTACACTTAATTACATGCATATCTACGAAAAGATGGCAGAAGGCCAAAGAAAACATATGGTAAAATGATTTTAAGTAAAAATAATGTAGCTATATCTATATATAGCTAGGGATTACGAAAAGCGTACCTTATCAATGCTCAAAGCTGAAAGCGTGAGGGTGGAGAAATTTGTTGGAAATTAATCACAAAGATGGAAGAGTACGTAACGTAAGAAGAGGATGCCAAATAACGATCTGGAAAATAAAAAAAAGAAACATCAGAAGCTCCAAAAAAAAGCCAAAGAAAACATTTGTAAAATGAAATATGAGAATGAAATATGAGTAAAAATGCTACAGGACTTGGAAAATAACTATAGCTGGGGATTAAGAAGCGTACCTTCGCCTTTTGCTAACTTCTTAATGCTCAAAGCTGAAAATATGCAGGTGGAGAGACATTAATTTGCTGGAAAAATTAACTACAGAGATGGAAGAGTAACCCAAGAAGAGGATGTCAAATAACGATCTGAAAAAAAAAAAAAAATCAGAAGTTCGAAAAAAAAAAAAAAGCCAAAGAAAACATATAAAATGAAATGAGTAAAGATACTATAGCTACAGGGCTTGGAAAATAACAACTATAGCTAGGGATTAAGTAGCGTACCTTCGCTTTTAGCTGACTTCTTAATGCTCAAAGCTGAAAACATGCAGCTCGAGAGACATTAATTTTCTGGAAAAATTAACTAGAGAGATGGAAGAGTAACCCAAGAAGAGGATGCCATATATCGATCTGAAAAATAAATAAATCAAAAGTCCGAAAAAAAAAAAGCCAAAGAAAACACATGTAAAATGAAACATGAGTAAAAATACCATAGCTACAGGGCTTGGAAAATAACTATAGCTGGGGAATAAGATGCGTACCTTCGCTTTTAGCTGACTTTAATGCTCAAAGCTGAAAACATGCAGGTGGCGGGACATTAATTTGCTGGAAACATTAACTAGAGAGATGGAAGAGTAACCCAAGAAGAGGATGCCAAATAACGATCTGGAAAATGAAAAACATCAGAAGATCGGAAAAAAAGCCAAAGATAACATTTGTAAGATGAAATATGAGCAAAAATACTATAGCTACAGGGCTTGGAAAATAACTATAGCTGGGGGTTAAGAAGTGTACCTTCGCTTTTAGCTGACTTCTTAATGCTCAAAGCTGAAAACATGCAGGTGGAGAGACATTAATTTGATGGAAAAATTAACTACATAGATGGAAGAGTAACCCAAGAAGAGGATGCGAAAGAGAGAGGCTCCGGATGGTGGATAGCTAGCAGGAGATGGACGATTTTTTTTTTTGAGAGAGAATGTTTGGATTGGTATCAAAGAAAATGCGTGATGATTTCTGATTCCTTATTAATATATCAAAGCGAAAGATAAAAGGGCAATGGAAAAATCCAAATGTTATTGTATTTAAAATATCAGAAAATCTATTGACAACTTTTAACATTTTTTTTAATAAAAAAAAATTAGTTTTTTAAATAACATTTTAAATTTAAATCTCATAAATAAAAAAAAATTTAAAATTTTTTTTTAATGAAATCTAATACGAGTAAATTTTAAATTAATAAAAATTTAATATAATTTTTGAAAAAATAATATCCATATATAAACTCACTCTTATAAGTATTTTTATATTTTAAAAG